AGCAAAACAGTAGCACCACATTTTAGTACGGCTACAAAAACGTTATATATTTTTAATTCTCAATGTGATAATAATAAATAAAGAACAAGAGAAAAAAATAATTGCCAAAAATGTAAATTAATATATTAAGTTGATGTGACACCGAGTTCCCACCCAAGATGTACTGATCATACTCATCATATACTCATAAAAGAGTATTTTGTAACAATAATGATGACATATCATCATAACTACTTGCTGCCCAACAGAAGAATTGCATTCCCTGACCATTAAACCCACCATTCTGCTGCATTAGCGCTACATATACCCCGCAGTGGTAAAGAGCCGGGGCTGGACTCAGAAACCTTGCGAAGGTTCTTAAGAAGTTCATAAGAATGTTCTTGACTGCAATTCTCGAAAAAAACATAAGTTCTCAAAAATTCTCTTAAAATAATCTTAACTATTTTCTTAAGAGTTTCATTTTACCATGTACCATAAATGATGCGAGATACATTTTAAATTTGTATGAACCGTCATTTCTGGTTCTTAGTTGAATCCACTCAGAGTAGAAAAATGGAGGAAAACATCCTCTTTGGAAAATATGATAACTGTGGGGTGATGGATGAGGATGAGGAGCAGCAGAGGCAGCATATGTGATCAATTTAGATGCTCACCTCGTCAAGTTACAGCCTAAGATGAGTGTGAGGCTGTCATAAGGTTGAGAAAACATTTAAGAACAAAATATCCTAAAGAATAACACTTGTTCTTAAAATCATTCTTAAGAAAATAGTTAAGAAAAGAAAATGAGATCATTCTTAATAACTTATTTCAAGAATAACAATTTGAATGTAGTTAAGAAAAAAACATAGAATTGAGAAGATTTTTCTTGAATTCAGCCCCAGATGCCTAATTTTACTATCAGCCTCAGAGACTGATTCACACCAACTGCCACTCCAACCCGAATCAAACACCTGCAGCACCTGAACAGCTCCACTTTAATCAGAGCAATCATACCAGTCACCAACTAGCACTGCAGCTACAAACATGAAAATCATACATCTCAATAAGTGGCTGGTTCCCAAGTGGCTGTTTCACCTACGCAAAAAAAAAGAGTCGCAACATACAATGTTCCAATTTGGCCCGCGGTCAAGAATTCCACATAAATACAGCATGATGCACACCCACTGTTGAAAGAATGGACTGTTCTTTCAGCCAGGAGAGGTATTAATAACAACATCGGTTTCCTCATATTGAGCACAATTTCCTTATGTTATATTCCTTCTCGCGAGGACAAAACTCACACGCAAATATCATTAAGCATGCATCAAAGGCGTGTCTGTCAAAATGTATGATGCTAGTGATGATAATAAGTAATAAAAAGAAGAAAACAGACAGATTTTCTTCAATGTCTGTAATATTGTCTATAAAATTAGTTCCTGTTTGGGTCATTCTACAGAAACGTTCACTTATCTGAAACGTTATCACTTTATCTGTCCATAGGAGTCACTGGTGTTACTGATTGTCACTGGTGTTACACATAAGAAAGGTAACACCAGTGACAAAATATGGCCTCAGCCTTCACACATGACTGTGGGGACGAGCTCTTCTGTGGTGCCTGGAATTCTAGATAATTGATTTAAAACCAATATTGATAAATTGATGGATCAAGGAGGTGTAATGGTTAAAATAACATACTGTTTTATTATATATATAATAAATATAAATAAACTGTAACCCTAACATGGTTTTCAAGTGTAATATAGTGTAAACGCTAGGGACACAAAAATGGGCGTCTCTGTAGAATGACCCATTTGAGTCATTTGATGTACGTCCATTAAATAAATGCATTTGCATTTAACAAACAAGACTGGTCACAACTGGTCAAATGTTTGCCCAACGGCTTATAAGAGAACTGGATTTTTCATCTTTTTAGAGTGCAAAATTGGTTCATGACTAAGAACTATAACTGTAACTGTACCAACCTATTAAAACTTCCAGAAAGTGAGTCGATCAACTTTTTTTTGCCTTTCCTGAAAAGCGTATCAATGAGTAGCAGTGATATACATGCTGATATATTTTTGTTATCAAGCTCACAGAACTGTTTTCCGAACATATCATGGACATTGTCAGTCGTTAAATGTAGTAGGAAATTCCACTGATTCATCAAAATTCATGCTTGATTAAATGGTTAAGATGTAAACAGAGTCATTCAGAGTGGTTTGGTGTGAAATGCTCTGTTCTACAGAAGTCAGAACTGTTCACAGTGGTGGTGATAGGAACCAGACATCCACCTCTAAAAGCTCCCTCATAAAAAGTTATTACATGAAATGGTTATTAATACACTGCCTGATGTCTTAAAACATTACTTTATGATAGTTTGTGATACATTTTTGGCTTAAAATGTATTTTAGTCCATTTATTTTACTCTATTAATGGAGGAGGGGTAAATGCAGAGTGTTGTGAGGCGAAGTAGTCCCAAAGAAAGCTTACTTTTTCAGATTTTCCACTATTTTCCCATCATCAACATTCCATATATAAACTCAGAAGACTCGTGTAGGTTCACTGGTGGTTTTGGATGGTAAATAAAATGTCTATATTTGTGTTGTAGTCATGACGACCCCTGGTTCCTATCACCATCACTATAAAAAAATCTGAACCAATTCACACCAAACCACTCTGATTGACTCTGTTTACACCTCAACCACTGAATTAAACAGGAATGTTGAAAATCAGTGGAATTCTCTGTTAAGGACACTAAACAACAGCACGCTTCATTACAAACGGACCATCATTAGTCCTTTTTAGTCCAATGTAGTTTTTACAGTAGTTTGTAAATGTGACACTTCTATTAGTTGTGCAGTTCCAACATATTAAACCTCAGAAAAAGTGAAATATCCTGATACAAACTGTGTATCGTAATATCATATTTCTGCTATATTGCCACCCCATTAATCAGTTTTGCTTTTAAAGCCTTTGGTGAGTTCATTTTTTAGTTTTAAACGTTTCTATAGGGTAACATGGTACAAGTCTTTTTGTAAAGAGGGCAATTGTAGGGTGCTATGTAATATGGATATCAGTATATGTGCAGCAAATGTGTCAAAGAAAAGGAAAATCTGCATTAATCTGCATTAATACACAAATCATTACGTTTAACTGCAGTGGATAGCTATTCCACTCTTACATCATCGGCCTTCCATAAAGCATTTTAGCATGTATTTGGGCCAAAGGTGGATCTGTTACCTCCTCCAATAAGAGCACGTTTGCGCTGATCTACATGTGTCCCAATACCTTGGCAGGATAACAGTCTATAGGACAACAATGTGCAGCGCATTCAAAATGCCAAATGATTAACATATGTGAACAGAGAGAGACTCACGTTTTAATCACAAACATGTATTTGCACCATATAATGTTTGCAAAATTCCAGACAGTGCAACTCATACTGTTTTTCAAGGCTGTGTTAATGTGTATAGGCATGCTTTTACAGTAAGCCTCTATATAAGCCTATAATGACCCATCAGAGAGCACAGCACACACAAAAAGAAGAAGCTTCCAGCACTTTTGCAAAGAATCTCTATTCAGCAGATTTTTGAGTGTAAAACTATAAGACTAAGTTAACAGATATTCTGTATTGATTTGTTTGTTTAATCTAGCTTTAGCATTCATCAAAAGTTAATGAAAATATAAAAAATCTAATTACATATATCTGTATTATCTCTAATGTATGTACAAGTTTTGTTGTTTTATGCAAATTCAAAAGTCTCCTCTGCAGAGAACACACTTGCAAAAGTTCGAGCAATTCTCTATTGTAAGTTTTATTTTTTCCCAATATACTAAATTCAGCACAGAAACAGAAACCGTGCATGAACATTTGCAACGTGTTCACTTGTTTTCACTCCGAAAATTCAGCAAAACGTCATTTTACCGGGGCGCCAAAACTTTTGCACACGGCTATAAACACACCGGCAGCCTTCTTAAGTCCTCGTCTAACACATGGAAATGTGTTAGCGCACGTTTTGACAGCATGGACAGTTTATCCTCACGCACCAACCTTACATACGGTGGTGTGCAAAAGTTTTGGCATCCCCAACCAATGCATTAATTACATTAAACAAACAAATAGAAATTGTGCGCTAAATTCGGCATATTCAAGTAGAGGACGTGTTCACTTGTTTTCACTTAGACAATCAACAAAACATCGTCTGATTGTTCAAACCTCTGCATACCACTGCATCTATGTCATTCTTTTTTGTCTTTCTTTGTGCTGGACAAATGTCCAGTCTGGCACTGTGTGACAGCTCTCACGTTATTACACTGACATGCACGCTCAGTATAAAGGAAGAGAAAACAGAGCGCAGCACATCAGGTCAGTTCATATGTCATCTAAAATAAGTTAGTGCTGAGCTCTGATATTGCAGTTCTAAAATGTCTTACTGCAAATTTTCATCCCACATCAGCAAAAAAGTGTGTTAGCACTTAAAACAAGAAGGAAGGAATCATGCACTGAATTTACATGAATGAGCGAATAAAGTGGTATCATTTTGGCACAAATAGCACTAAACGTGAGTCAAACTGAAAGACGAGAACTATATCGATTATTTGATTCATGTGTCCACATTTGAATCAGCACTTTATGTTCTTTACAAAGAATATAGCTATAAAGTGTGTTGGCACTAAAAAAGACAAGTAGAAAGTAGTGCTGAACTGAATTTACATGAATGAGCAAATACAGTAATATTATACTGGCACCAAAACGGAGTCAAACTGAAAGTTGATAACTCTGTCGATTATTTAAATCGTGTGTCCACTTTTGAATCAGTGTCTTATGTTCTTTAGAAAGAGGCAGTAAAATAACCTCTTATTATTTCTTTTTCTTTTTGGTTCCCTAAGGAACTGAGCTGTTTGAAGTTACGGAAGATACAAAGAAGCCTGTCTGGCACCTTTACTGTACTACCCAGAACATCAAGAAAAACTCCTTTAGATTGTGTCTGAAACTCAAACGCTAAAGGTGATGTTGTTACCTGAGGCTGCGGCGCTGAGGCACATCAGTAAAGCCAGAAACGCAGTGATGCTCTCCATTTTCTGCAGCGTATCCCTCTGCGGTGAAGGTCTCTCCTCGGTAGCCGGCACTTGTGGACAGCGTGGGCTCTGGTGCAGTGGCAGGATGGGGCAGTGCGTGTGTGTGTGCTTGTATTTCAGCTGGGCTGAGCGCTCCAGTCCAGCCTTGACACTTCCTGGCGGTGCTGAAAAGGAGGCGGGCGTTAGCAGTAAACTCTCGTGGGGCTCGTTTCGACTAAAGACCATGGAAGTTGCCTCTTTTTGGACCATTACGCTTCTGAAAAAACTCTTTGGAATGACTGATTGGTGGACATTCCTGCTGACTGCTGCTGGCTAGAGAAAGGCTGAGGGGACCCCAGTTCATGACTTTGGCTATTCTTTCATTACAGAGTTCAAGTGTTTACTGATAAACAAGAATAGCTTTATGGCTTGTTTTATGCTATAACAATAATGTTCTGCTTTGAGAGTGATGATGTTGTACTAATGGATTCACTCTGATACATGGTTGTTATATAAACTGATATAAAGATATGCTTTTTTTGCTCAGTATATCAAATTTTTGAATTAGTAACTAAGAATAACGACTTGTTGATGTTGATTATTGTTGATTATTAGGTTGAAATAATGGTTTATTGAGTTATTTCAAGTTATTTCAACATAGTAACTAGTATTTCCAGATACGAAGTCAAAACTATGTAATTAAAGAAGTCATCATTTTAAGTCGTAAGATATTTGGGGATACTATGTCACAATTTCAAGATATTATTTTAAAGTATTAAGTCAAAATCTAAAAAAAACAAGTCATAATTTTGACATAGTAAGTCCACTTACTATGTAAATACTGTCATTATCTACACATAGTAAGTCATTATTTTGAGTTACTAAGTGATTATTTAGACATAGCATGTCATTATTTTGACATGGCAAGTCCCTTTCTTTAAAATACCATCATTATCTACACATAGTAAGTCATTATTTTAAGTTTTTAAGTCATTATTTAGACATAGTACATCATTATTTCGACATACTAAGTCCCTTTTTCAAAATACTGTCATTATGTACACAAAATAAGTCATTGTTTTGAGTTATTTAGTCATGATTTAAACATAGTATGTCATTATTTTAACATAGTCATTATTTAGAAGCACTACATCATTTTGACATAGTAAGTCATTGATTTGAGTTAATAAGTCAAATATTAAACACAATAAGCTATTATTTTAAGAAATTAAGTGAAATTATTTTGTTATCTCCGACAGGAACGGGCTTTCATATATTTCTCCTTTTTTAACCTGATTTTAATTCTTCTTCTTTTTTTCTTTGTATGGTCAGCTATTAATCCAGTGGTCATGGAGTGGACATGGAGTTAAACCTTTATCCATCAGCTTTTACTTTCTATTCATGCAGTAGCTGGGCTTAAATATTAATATGACAAACATGTTATTTGGCTTATTCAGAAAGTGAAAACTCCTGACTGTCTTTATCTGGAAGGGACACATCCCAAACATAACGACCAGATAAGAAGCTGTCCTTTCATACTGACTGCTGGGGTTTCTCTACACTCGTCCCTCACAGACGGACAGATTTAAAGGGAACCTCAATCGATTTTTCAAAAATTGTACATAATTAAATGGTTAAGATGTAAACAGAGTCTTTCAGAGTGGTTTGGTGTGAAATACTCTGTTCTAGAGAACCTTACCGAGTCAGAACTGTTCACAGTGGTGGTGATAGGAACCAGACCTCTAAAAGCTCCTTCTCAGAATGTTTTTACATGAAATGCTTACTTATACACTGCCTGATGACTGAGACACTGTTTACTACAATTTTGAGAAGCTTTAAATTGAACATGTATTTTTCAAATCCACTCATGGTGGAGGAATCCATGCAGAGTGTTGTGGGGCAAAATAGTGCCCAAAGAAAACTTTTTATTCCAGATTTTCCACTATTTTACCATCATCAACATTCCATATAAAACCCAGAAGACTCGTGTAGGTTCACTGGTGGTTTTGGATGGTAAATAAAATGTCTATTTTTATGTTGTAGTCATGGCGACCCTTGGTTCCTATCACCACCACTGTAAAGACATCTGAACCATTTCACACCAAACCGCTCTGAATGACTCTGTTTACATCTGAAACACTACATATTACTGAGAAATTTTGAAAAATTGGTGGAATTCCCCTTTAAGCGGCAGTTGAAAAATGCCCAAACTTTCTAATTCATCAGAAACAACGAGCTCAACACATGACATTGATTAGTGTGGTCAGTTCAGTAAAGCTGCAAGCAAACGTTGCTCACTTCTCTCTGCTTCGCTTACAGATTACATGATAAACGCGTACAGTTATAAAAACATCCATAAAAGGTCTGAAAACTGCCCGTAACACAACGATATCACAGTGTCCACTCTGAGAACTGAAGTCCAGCTGTCCAGCCGGGTCAGAGAGGCGCTCATATGAGAACAAAGTGAAAGCAGATCTCGACCAAAGACCCTGCTGTTAGCGCAGTGAGCGGCTCTTCACTGTAACTCCGCTCGTTTTATTAAAGAAGTATAAACTCACCTTTTTACGCTGTGAAGCTCTTTCCCTCTACTTTAGTTTCCCACCACGAGCCGCGCCGTCTGCTCGCGCTACTCTTTTCCCACCCGTATTACGACAGGCCCCGCCCTCCTGCGCTGCGATTGGCTAGAAGTTCATCATCAGAAGCAATGTAGCGCAATAAACAAATATATACACGATATAGATCGATAAATAATTATATTCACAGTTTTATTTTTGAAATAATTAAATACATGTAATCTTGTAAAACACCAGTCATTTTCACAGTGATGTGATTATCTATATTTTAAAATGACGTTTCCTGATGAAATTCTGTATTTTGAGCTATTCGCCATCTAGAGCTATAAAGTACTGGCCACAATTCTCCTTCTGGAACTATGAAGTAGTACTCAAAATGCTTTTATAAACACTGACCATTTGCCTTCTAGAACCATGAAACACTAGCCAAAATGCTTTTATAAACACTGACCATTCGCCTTCTAGAACCATGAAACACTAGCCAAAATGCTTTTATAAACACTGACCATTCGCCTTCTAGAACCATGAAATACTAGCCAAAGTGCTTTTATAAACACTAACCATTCGCCTTCTAGAACCATGAAATACTAGCCAAAGTGCTTTTATAAACACTGACCATTTGCCTTCTAGAACCATGAAATATTAGCCAAAATGCTTTTATAAACACTGACCATTTGTCTTCTAGAACCATGAAATATTAGCCAAAATGCTTTTATAAACACTGACCATTTGCCTTCTAGAACTATGAAGTACTAGCCAAAATGCTTTTATAAACACTGACCATTTGCCTTCTAGAACTATGAAGTACTAGCCAAAGTGCTTTTATAAACACTGACCATTTGCCTTCTAGAACCATGAAATACTAGCCAAAGTGCTTTTATAAACACTAACCATTCGCCTTCTAGAACCATGAAATACTAGCCAAAGTGCTTTTATAAACACTGACCATTTGCCTTCTAGAACCATGAAATATTAGCCAAAATGCTTTTATAAACACTGACCATTTGCCTTCTAGAACTATGAAGTACTAGCCAAAATGCTTTTATAAACACTGACCATTTGCCTTCTAGAACCATGAAATACTAGCCAAAGTGCTTTTATAAACACTAACCATTCGCCTTCTAGAACCATGAAATACTAGCCAAAGTGCTTTTATAAACACTGACCATTTGCCTTCTAGAACCATGAAATATTAGCCAAAATGCTTTTATAAACACTGACCATTTGCCTTCTAGAACCATGAAACACTAGCCAAAATGCTTTTATAAACACTGACCATTCGCCTTCTAGAACCATGAAATACTAGCCAAAGTGCTTTTATAAACACTAACCATTCGCCTTCTAGAACCATGAAATACTAGCCAAAGTGCTTTTATAAACACTGACCATTTGCCTTCTAGAACCATGAAATATTAGCCAAAATGCTTTTATAAACACTGACCATTTGTCTTCTAGAACCATGAAATATTAGCCAAAATGCTTTTATAAACACTGACCATTTGCCTTCTAGAACTATGAAGTACTAGCCAAAATGCTTTTATAAACACTGACCATTTGCCTTCTAGAACTATGAAGTACTAGCCAAAGTGCTTTTATAAACACTGACCATTTGCCTTCTAGAACTATGAAATACTAGCCAAAATGCTTTTATAAACACTGACCATTTGCCTTCTAGAACTATGAAGTACTAGCCAAAGTGCTTTTATAAACACTGACCATTTGCCTTCTAGAACTATGAAATACTAGCCAAAGTGCTTTTATAAACACTGACCATTTGCCTTCTAGAACTATGAAGTACTAGCCAAAATGCTTCTGTGAACTCCCAGCCATTCACCCTTCTTCTACAAACACTAACCATTCACCTTCCAGAACTATAAAGTACTACCCAACATGCTTCTATGAACTACTAGCCACTCACCTTCTAGAATTATAAAGTATTTACCAAAATACTTCTATGAACTGCCTTCTAGTATTCTGCACCACTAGCGAGGTGCCTTGTGAACAATGAACTAGCTGGTCACAGACTGTAACTTTGAACAAGCATGCTGACCAAAATGCTTTTAGATGGCATGCTAACTTAATAGATAGTGTTTGTAGAAGCAATTTGGCTAGTACTTCATAGTTCTAGAAATGCCTTCTAAAATTATAAACTACTAGCATTTAAGAACAATTAACCGCCAGCCAACTGCATTCTAGTTCGATTACATACCACCCAACCACATAATAGAACAATTAACTACTAACAAATCATATTCTAGAACAATTATCTGCTAGATAGCCACATTCTAGAAAAATGAACTATTAACCAATCATATTCTAGAACAATTAACTACCAGACAACCACATTCTAGAACAATTAACTACAAGCCAACTGCATTCTAGATAGATTACATACCAGCCAATCACACTGTAGAACAATTAATTCCTAACCAACCATATTCTAGAACAACTAACTGCTAGCCAACCACACTCTAGAAAAAAGAACTACTAACCAACCACATTCTAGAACAATTAACTACCAGACAACCACATTCTAGAACAATTAACTACCAGACAACCACATTAGAATAAACTATCAACCACCTGCATTCTAGAACAATTAGTTATTAACCAACCACAATCAAGATCAATTAACTATCAGACAACCACATTCCAGTGAACTACCAGCCAACCGCATTCCAGAATAATAAACTATCAACCAACTGCATTCTAGAACAATTAATTATTGACCAATCGCATTCTAGATCATTTAACTCCCAGACAACCACATTGTAGTAAACTACCAGCCAACCACATTCTAGAATAATAAACTATCAACCAACTGCATTCTAGAACAATTACCTACCAGCCAACTGCATTCTAGAACAATGAACTACCAACCAATCATATTCCAGAACTATGGGCTACTGGCTAATCCTAGCAGAGGAGGGGCGGGTTTTGCCTTAATTTTGTTGGGAAAAAAAATAACATGGTGTTGAAAGGGCGGCACAGACAAACGTCCGTTAGAAAACAGAGGAGGAAAAAAACAGCGGCTCCACAAGAGTGAAATTCATTTCCTTGCTCTTTGCTGTGGACTAAAAATAAGTTTTAGCTCTTAGCTCGTTTCATTGTTGTCTGGCGGCTGGGAAACTTAGTCAAGGGAGAATAATGTAGGCTAATTGTTATAATTTCATGAGGTGATGGTGTTTGTGGTGGTTCTTTCACACTGAACATCTAACAAACTGCTTTTAAGTCCCACTAAGAGCGCTATTTTTAGTGGGGTCTTTTTTCCTCTTTATGTTAAGAGGCCAAAGACAAGTGGGCAGTAGTGCAGGGAGTGCATTCGCTATTCACTATATGAATCATAAAAGAGAAGTAAGGAGGGTCAGCTTGCGCTTTAAAAGGACAAAAATATATATGTTTGGCATTTCTTCAAGAGGTTCATGTTGCAGATGGACAAACATCACGCAGGCCGGAGCGTGTGAGGAAGTGTGCACGTAGCCTGCACTGCAGTGGGGATTGTGGCCCCCCAACTACACCCCCAGGACCCCAGCAGGGGTCAATAACAGGAAGCGATCCTCTGTGCGGGTGTCCATGGATCGCTGCCTTCAACACATTGAAACACAGGTGAAGGAGGTTTGGGTTGGTATGTTTGGTCGGCGCTTTGAGCCACGTGCTGCTACTGTGCTGGACGGTTTGGCTTTTTTCCTGCAACTGTTCTGCTCAGAGCGATGACTCATACATTCAGCTATGATATTTGTTTCTGCACAGGCTTTGGACAGGATTGAAGGATTTTATGGACAGAGGAATTCACTCTATGCAGACTATATCATGTGTGGTTCATGATGAATGAATTGACTTGACTCATGAACCCAGTCAATAACGGACAAAACAACAAAACGTCAGTGTTGAATTAAAAAAACTGCCAATTAATGACATATATTCAATTAGTCGGGACGCTGTGCAAAATGTAAATAAAAACAAAATGCAATGTGCAAATCATTTAAACCCTATATTTCATTGAAAATAGTATAAAGACAACATATCAAATGTTGAAACTGAGAAACTTTATTGTTTTTTGAAAAAATATTTGCCCATTTTGAATTTGATGACAACAACACGTTCCAAACAAGTTGGGACGGGAGCAACAAAAGGCTGGTAAAGTTGTGTAATGCTAAAAAACCACCTGGTGTTTAATTGGCAATGGGTCAGTAACATGACTGGGTATGAATTGGGTATTGGGTAAGCATCCCAGAGAGGCTGAGTCCTCCAGAAGTAAAGATGAGGAGGGGTTCACCACTCTGCGAAAGGCTGCACGTGCAAATAGTGCAAATCAAGAATAACATTTCTCAACATAAAATAGCAAAGAACTTTTGCTTTTCATCATCTACAGTACATAATCACATCAAAAGATTCAGTGAATCTGAAGAAATCTCTGTATGTAAGGGACAAGGCCAAAAACCAGTATTTGCTGGCACTTCTGAAAACCACTGTCTTTGAAAACAGTTCATCGCTGTATCCACAAATGCTAATTAAAACTCTAAAATGCAAAGAAGAAACCATATATAACCAGGATCCAGAAACACTGCCATCTTCTCTGGGCCTGAGCTCATTTAAAATGGACTGAGGGGAGGTGGAAAAGTGTTCTGCGGTAACTACAGCAATTGGTATCCTCAGTTCCCTAAACTCTTACAGGGTGTTGTTAAAGGAAGAGGTGATGAAACACAGCGGTAAACAAGCCCCCGTCCCAACTTTTTTTGGAACATGTTGTTGGCATCAAATTCAAAATGGACATATAATAAAAAAAAAAAATTCTCAGTTGCAACATTTGATACGTTGTCTTTGCATTTTTTTTCTTTAAAACATATGGTTTATATGATTTGCATATCATTGCATCCTATTTTTATTTACATTTGCACAGCGTCCCAACTTTTTTGGAAAAGGGGTTGTATTTTGTGTAAATGTGGAAACATATGCATTTGAGCATGGCAACTGTTTGATGTTAACTTTAATTTAGTAATATTATATATTGAATTTCTGCAGTTGTGTGCAAAAGTTTGGGCACCCCACCCAAATTCCACATTTGTGTTGATTTTCTGAG